TTCTCCTCTCTGTGCCAATGGGAAACATCATGGGAAAGAAAACAGATTGGATTGTTGGAGAGATGGCCTGACGCAGCTGTGGGCGGCTCTTTGTGTGTTTGGGTGTGTTGCTGTACGTGTGCTCGAGTGAGTGAGTGAGTGAGTGTATGTGTGTGTGTGTGTGTGTGTATATCATGAGACAACTAGGGGTAGAGGGAGAGAAAGCTAAATAAAAATGCGGATGTTTAGCGTTTGTGTATGTGTGGATGAGAGAACGAGATGGATGAGCCCCACTATGGTAATCACAATTTCATGCCTCAGGAATAAAAAACCGGGATGCAACAAACGGCCCTGGAACGCTCTTGTGTAACAATGGGTCAGTTAACAAGCACACTCACCGAAGTTTGGACAGATAACAAATGGTTCTCCTTGAGGAGTGTAGAGCTCCCCTGTATACAAAGAATAAAGTGCCTCTGGCCCTGCAAGTTCTCAGCAAAATGTCGAGCATTTATTTGCCGTTCCATAAGAAACACTTTAACTTTATGTGAACCAAATGACAAAAAAAGTGTCCGCTTCTGCAGGTCACATGGAGGTGGGGGGGGTTGATTAAGGTAAAATGCTGATGAAGATAACAAGGTAGCGCTTGGAGAGAAAACACTTTATAATGAGAGTCCAATCCAAGCAAAACTGCGACATGCTTTTTGTGTTTCATCATAAACAGTTGAAGTTCTCAGAGACAGAACAGAAAGGAGAGAATGTAAGAAACTGGAAGCAGAGCTTGGTTATGTTGAGTTTTGACACCGCTTTCCTTGTGTCTGCTATTAAAATGTGTGTTGTGGGCGTAGGGAATGTGAGTGTGCATGTGTGGGTGGGAGTAAAAAGGAAGGTAATGGGCCTTGAGCTCATTTGTCCTGGCCTGGTCCCGATGCTGTTTCACATCCATCCTCCCACCTCCTGTGTCCCAGCCTGGAATGCCTGCATGTTCTCCACAGATGAGGCCCAGTGACTCAGCAACACACGGCCGCTCTTTCACACGGATCACAGCGAGGACACCTAAACAAGTCCCAGACCTTTCCCTCAGCCATTTGTCTAGCCATTAACGTCACAGCGACTTAATGTCCAGTTCCTTTCTAATCTATCAGTTACACTGAACTTGAACATTGGGCTGTGTACCATGTTTACCTCTTACCTCCTCACCCTTACCCTTACCCCATCTGCTTCGTCTTACCGTGTCGCCCTCACCCACACTGCTCAAACCTATTAGCCAGCTCTTACTTTAGCTGCTTTCAGACATGAACGGAACCCCAGATTATCTCCTGACATTCACCATGTGTCAACACAAATGTCCGAGTGAGAGACTCTAGAGTTTCTGCGGCCAATGGAAAGAACTCACCATCATGTCCATGTGAGAAAACAACAGGAAATCCTCCAGAGGATTCACCGCGAGCCGACGCGGGTGTAAACAAAAACATGAAATATCTGTGTTGTCTTGAACGCGCCTGAGCTGCCATGTCCACACGTGAAAGTCAATCTCTGGAGAAAGTCCAGACTCAATTGAACAGACATTCTTTGCAGTTCATGTCTGAAAACGGCTTCAAGTTCCACTAATAATGAAAGAGGCGATCGACACGAGAAAGAGATGCATGTTCTTTGACATTGTTCCACCTCAGCTATACAACAAAATATCCCTCAGACAATTTTTCTGAGTTTTCAGCATCGTAGTCTGTGTGGATCCATTGTTGTTTTCAGGCTCCCTGCCAAACTGGAACAAGCCAGTTGGACTAATTTGTTTAGGATTAGAATCTCTTTTCCCTATCATGTCAACTTGTATTTTGTATAAACAGCTGGGTGAAGTGGGCGGCGTGTTCTGGCTGACCTTCCCGAGCTAATTTATGTGCAAATCACTCCTGCAAAAAAAAAAAAAATTATTTAGACTAATTTCATCATCAAAATAATTCAGACACTAAATGATTCCCCATGATACAGGACACAGACTGGTAGATGTCACTTTATCTGTTATATTAATTTACATATGTACAAAGGGAAGGGTTGGCGTTTGAGGTGGGAGTGAGGGCTGTGTTGTGGGGAGTAGTGAAAGGCTGAGGGGTGGGAGAGAAAGGGACAAGGGTGAGAGGTTTCAGGGCAAACATCCGGTATTTCTCTCTTCTTTGGATAATAATTTGTTTCTCCACTTCCTCCCAATGTTCTCCAGCTTGTTCTCCATCTCGCTGAGCTTGTCCGGGCAGGCGAGGTGTGATTTAGTGGAAGCTTGTCTTTTCATGGTTTCTTTCTGGATCAGCTGCTCCTCATGTCAGACCTCCTTCAGATTGTAAACCTTTGAGCCTCATTTTTGGGGTTTTCCTTTCCGCTGCTCATTCCCTCAGTCAGACTTATCACCTGCTTTTTTTGGGTTCATCCTCAAGCATCCTCTGTCCAATCTTGACCTGCTCCTTCCTGGTGCAGATTTGCCTCCGGACTCTCACACTTGCCCTGACATTCAGTGAGCTCGGCTAAGCAGTCCATGTAGGCTTTGCTGCGTGCCGGCTGTGTCTTGGTCTCTTTTTGTAAGAGATCATCTTTCTCTTTCAGCTGGTCCTGGAGCTGCTCAACCTGCTCCTTAAGAGAAGAGTTTCCTTTTTTTAGGACCTTAAATTCACAGATGGCTCTAAGGAGTTTGGCTCTGAAGCTCTTCACGATTTTGTGTTGCTGCTTTGACCTTTGACCACCAAATTCAAATCAGTTAATCCTTGAGTCCAAGTGTATGTTTGTGCCAGATGTTAATGGATTCCCTCAATACGTTCCAGATATATCTCATTTACAAGGCAAAACATTTGCCAAGTGAGGTCACAGTGACGTACGGACACGCAACAATCCGAAAACATATGGCTGTCGCGGAGGCTCAGAAAATCCCAGTAACCCCTTTTATTTTCTAACCCGCTGTCGCTTCAATCACAAGTAAGTGGCTGACCACGAAGCCACTCTGCAAACACAAGCTGGCAACTTCAGCGAGACCACCACCATACGCGCACACAATCACACACACATACACACGGAGGCTCACATATGCTCGGCGACACACACTCCCACACACTCTCTGCTGCTCTTTCACTCTCAAAGTTTCTCACAGCTCCCCACACTTATCTACACTTCTCGTCTCAACTCTCGCCCTTTACCCCTCCTCTGGATGTTGCCCTGCAGCGCGAGGCAATCTCTCTCTCTCACTCGCTTCCTGCATCCGTCCTTCCAGCTGCTTCTCCCGCTCCCTTTTCCACTTCTCTGCTCACCCCCTCACTGACCACATCCACTAAACTCACTCCACAGGCACGCAGTGTGGAGAGTGTCGGAGGCGTGCGCTGCTGGCACTTTCCCCCACCCCTGCACTGGGCCCAGCTCCAGGACTGGACCGCCTCGCTCTCTCTCTCTCTCTCACTCGCTCACTCACTCACTCAGTATGCTTCTGATCAGACCAGCCTCCTGCTAAAGTTGCAGAGGGGGCCTTCTCCTCTCAGCCCCGCCGCCCAACCACCCACAGACCTAAAAAGATAGAGTCAGAGAAAGCAGTTTGGAGAGCAGAGGGGGGGGGGGGGGCGAAGCAACCAAAACAAAACAACCACCCCCAAAAAAGCGACAGTTGTTTCTGAAGTTAGGAGGAATTTGGCTACCAGTTGCGCTAATGTTTTCAAGATGACTCTGACTGTTTGAAGGAAATCCCCCCACTTTAGTAGCCATTTGAAATTCCTTCTGTGTTTTATTGCAAGGAAGTAGGCGCTGGGTTTAGTCAGCGGCCCTTCAGGGTAGCGTGTTCAGTCTGTCTGGGGCCACTGGTGTGTGCGGCTGCCCAATCCAATCTACTTTCCCCTACGTTACTGGAAAGGGTCTAAAACTTAAGTTGTGTGTTTATGAGTGGATATGTGTGTGGAAAGTCTGGCTGGGTTCTTCGTCTTCGTCGTCTTCTTCTCGGGCGTCTGAATTCCTGGGCAGAATATGCAACTGAATCACTAGGAAAGTCTGATGAGAAAGACACTGAAGTGGGTGTGAAACTCTCCTACCAACAGCCATCCTGCTCAATATGTTTTTACTTGGTAAGTAAACGTTCAGAATTTCTCTCTGTCTTCAGTCTCCACTGAGTCAAATTGCTGAGACTCAACTCCGACATGGAGATTCTTCAGGGCTTTGGTTGGAAAACTTGTTTGGAATCAGTCATCTTCTCCTCATACATGTTCTTGTGTCTCGTGTTTCTGTGTCAGAGCTACTTCTGAAACCAGCTGCTGGATTTTAAGATGCCCTTGGAATAACTAAAGCTTTCTTTCTTTGATCGCTTAACTCGTGGGGACATTAGAATAGACATATAATTTATTTAAGACAAAAAGGAAAGGAAGTCAGCGGACGTAACAGGGAGAGAGAGAGAGTTTGTGTGTGTGTGTGTGTGTGCGCTGCGATCGTTCAGGGTGTGTTGTGGGGAGCTGCAGAGGCTGGCTTCCATATGGCACTGACCACTTACTGTACAACCTCAGCTGCCTTGTGCTCACTGACTCCTTCTGTGACAGGATGTCTTATAAACTATTGGTGTGTGTGTGCGTGCGTGTGTGTGTGTGTGTGTGTGTGTGTGTGTGTGTGTGTGTGTGTGTGTGTGTGTGTGTGCGTGCGTGTGTGTGCGTGTGTATTTTATCTCCTGGCATTTCTACTTCTTCTATCCTCCCCCTCTCCGGTGCCTGCTGATAACTGAGCTGTGGAGAACAGGTTGATGCAGTCACACCTGCAATTTTCTCTCTGTCTTTCCTCTCCTCTTGTCACCATCACTCTCATCTCTCGTCTTCTGTGGTTTGGTGTCCTTGTCTAGACGACACGTCCATCCGTCCCTTCGGGCTGCCGTCTCCAGATAAGACGGAGCGCTGAAGACTACCTATTGGCTCATTTTTCAAGAGCAGACCGGGAAATATGATGCATGGTGAAATAATTGTACCTTATCTTCTCGTAGACAATAGGTATAGTCGTAGATCTGTGTGTGTATGTGCACGATCAAGCGCACGAGTGCATGCAGATAGGTGTGTATTTCTCTGGGAGGAAATTTTGATCTGATTCCCAGCATTCAAAAGAACAACGTGTTGTGGGTGGGTGCTCGTTGTGTTCTCAGCTTTTTTTTTTTCTTCCCATCACTTCTTGGCCCACACTTCGATGAATCCCTTTACATCCCATTATTGTGTGATTTCTTGTTAAGACACCAAACAACCACTCATCCCCCACTTACATAACTGGGCAGGGGACAACTCCCATCCACGTTAGGTTTAGACATATGTAGCTGCATTTTTATTCCTAGAATGAGCAGCTTAGTCAAACTTCAGCTCCTTTCACACTTAATTTTGATTTCATGTCTGGAATGACACAGTAATGCAGATGCAATCTAACTTTCGCAATTTGAGTGAATCACGTAGTAACCAGTTTAAACCGTGTACAGCAGCCCAGCAGTGTGATTTAATAAACTTGTAAACAAAATACTAAACTAAGCACTGCTCAGAGAACGACTTTTTTTATTGAAGCCAGAAAAGATAATTTACATACTATGTTGACAACATGTTATGGATGCTTTCAAAATTGTCCAAGACCTGAAATGTGTGTGGCAGTTTCATTTGTGTGGTACCATAGCATATTTATTGCACTTAAAGGGATAGTTCACCCAAAAATGAAAATTCACTCATTATCTACTCACCAGTATGCCGGTGGAGGAGTGGGTGAAGTCCACAAAACACTTTTTGAATTTCAGGGGTAAACAGTGTTGCAGCAAAATCCAATACAATTGAAGTTAATGTTGACCAATTCTTTAAACGTAAAAGTCCGTAAGACCCCCAAAATTAGTGTCTTTAGCATTTGAGGTATCGTCACCATTTACTTTACATTTACTGTACTGGATTTGGCTGCAACGCTGTTTCCCCCTGAAACTCCAAAAGTGTTTTGTGGACTCAAACACTTCACCCACCCCTCCATCTACATAAAGTTTTTTATGATTCTGATCTGCATAGTGGTGAGTAGATAATGTGTGAATTTAAATGTTTCAGTGAACTATCCCTTTAAGCTATGTGAGGTGCTAATAGATAATATTACAACACTGCTTTGAGTCGTTGTACTTAATGTGGCTATAAAAGTATGTTAACATCCTAATGTTAGGTTACCTGAATTTCTGTGTGTTGAGCCTCGAAGTGTCTCTACAGGTTTGTGGTTTTGTAGCCGCTGGGCGTCTCTCCCGACAATACACGTTCATTTTCTTTCATTACATTTGAACTAGGTCCAAATGTTAACCTGTTTTGTTGCTTTCATATTCTCTACCCTTCACTGTTTTATGATGTCCTACAGCCATAGGGTTTGTGTGCATAGCTAAGTACAGTCTTTCTCCAGTATGTTCATTCCAGCGCAAAGAAATGTACAACACAGTCATTTAAAGGACATTTATATTATTTTATTGTGATTTTGTGTTCTGTTTTTTCATTAACAATACCACCTGCTGGTTTTTAAATATGGAGGTGCTGTCTCCTCATTGTCTCCTTAGTCATCGATATAAATTAGTTTAGAGAATTCACACTAGACTTTACATTTCAAACAACATTGTAAGTGAAGGTGTAAGCGTGGGATGTTTAGTAACAGGGAGGGAGGTGGGGTTCGCTCATCCCAGTGCTCCCCTCTCTTTTAATTCTCTAATAGGATTAATCTTCATCGCTGTCAGGGATCGGCGCCGATTAGGATGCACATGACCCGATTTTCTTAAGAGCCCATGCAAGTGCTCGGCTGGCACCACTTAAGCATGAGAGAAAAAAATAAACAAGGTTTTCAAGAAAAAACAACACACAGGTACGAGAAAACACACAACTAACAAGGAGGCTCCATGGATCCATGTGATTAACAACCATTTGATAAGCTGCTAAATAAACAGTGATGGTGAGTCTGGTGCTGTCACATCTCGGACCTTTGCTCCACTTCTTCTGCACTTCTTTGCTGTGCACCCAAACTGTAACTGCCCCAGCACTGAGGGAGACCAGACCTCTTTTACAACCTGTGTGCTTTCTCACCAACACCTCTGATTCATAAAGCTTTCAATAGGTTCAGGGAGAGCATCGTATAAACTCAGCGTGAGTGTGGCGGTGTAGTGGTACGGACGGACGCTTGAACAAACTGCAAGAGAAAGACAAGAGATTTGAGAAGAATCATGCTCGGTGCATTTCTCAGCAGGAGGCAAACTGTGGACACAACACAGGGAGAGGTTATTTAGTGTGAGTGACAGGTTGAGGAGGCAACAAACAGCCAGTCTAACAGAGGTTTTTACCTCCGCAGAGGAAGTTATGTCTTCACCCCATCTGAAAGTGGTTTGTACGCTTGTACTTTAAGTGGTTTGTACGTACTACAGGACGGATTATCACGAAACTTGGTGGAAGGATGTGGTATTGGTCAGGGAAGAACCCATTCAATTTAGCATTGTGAGATTAGGTGTTTGTTCTCGAAGAATAAGTTATACAATTGGATGAAAATTAGACGTGTTAAGGAGACTGATATTTATGAGTGGATTCCAATGTGGATTCATAAGGGGTCTATTGGGCCTTGGTGGAGGTATTCTTACTCTGTGCCCACAACAGCTCAGATTAGACATGTGGTCAGCAGTTTTCCTATGGTAACTTAGATGTTTTCTCCAGTTGTGTTGTGAGAGCGACTTCATGTATGTATTGATCCAAGATCGTCCTGAAGTTTTCTGTCGTTCCCCCCTTCTCTCCTGACTTAGACATCCTTAGTCATCCCACTTTCTTATGTATCATCCCTCTCCTTGTCTTTCTGGCAGAGGCTTTCTCTCCCCTCTTGGTATGTGAAGAGGGGCTTTCGCGGCCTCTCCCTGTCACTCTCTATGTCTCTCACCCCCCCCCNCCCCCCCCTTTCTCTGTCTCTGGGGCAAGGCTGTTAATAATGCAGGGGGATTAGCTGATTTATATGAGCCAGGGGTCCTGGGGGCGACGCACAGGAAGACGACGCTGACGAGTGAGCAATGTGCGGGGCGGTGGCATACAGGAGCCTTGGGTGTCTGGATGATGGGGGCTGGATGTGTGCCCAGTGAGCATGCTGGCCATAATCCACCCCCACCCTCCTGCCTCGATCCCCAGTCTGCACTCCACGGGGCTGTGCCAGGAGTGCTCCGCAGGGACATGGGTGATAGGAGGTGGCAGTGGAGAAGCAAGGAGGGGAAAGGGACAGACAGCGTACGTGGTTGCTACGGAAACAGTTTTTATGTGGCTGGAGGTCTTTTTAAACATATTTTAGGGCCTCATCATTTTTGTCTGCTTTATTCTGCAAATGTTTGCGATGGTGGTTACCTCTGCCAAGGAGGTTATGTTTGCCTGTCAGTAAATTGGCAGGATTACGCAAAAAAAAAAATACTGGACGAATTTCCACGAAACTTGGTGGAAGGATGTGGTAGGGGTCAGGAAAGGAGCCATATTATTTTGGTGTAGGTCTGAATCAGGTTTTTTTTTACCTTCTTTAACATTGTCAGAGAGCGTTTTTCCACATTTTCGTTGATTCCTCAGAGAATAATTTATGGATCTGGATGCATGTTTAGAGAACTGATAATAATTGGTGTTGGCAATTCAGTGAGTGCAGTTCCAAATAAAAATCTGTATTTAGTGTATTTAAATTAGGTTGCATAAGGGAAGTGTTGGGCCAGGGTAGAGGTGCTCTATGTAAGTGCCAGTCCACTCTTCTGTATTTTGTCCCTAGTAGCACATCAGGAAAATTAATTCAGTTTAAAATGTTCACACATTTTGTAGAATTTGACTCAAAAAGTTGCAGCTTGACATAACTCATGAACATAATAGATTTTACCGTGGTCAAATTTCAAAGTGTACTTTGCTGTGCAGTATTTAATATACTTGTTAACCTTTTTCTCTCCTCACCTGTTTTACACACAGAAACAAGGCTGGTTTTAAGGTAGTTTTCACTGTAGGGTTCTGTTAGGTTGGGGATTGTGGGGGATTTCCACCTGTCTGGGCCTGTGGTGCAAAGTGTGACAGGAGTGTGTCTGTGTGATGTATGTGAGTGAGCACATCCCTGCCTATTTCTATGTGTGAAGTGTGTTATATATGTGTGTGTGTGTGTGTGTGTGTGTGTGTGTGTTTGTGTATGCGTGCCTCTGCATGCTCCTGTGCTCTGGCCCTTGAGCCATAGCCTATGCTGTGCAGGAGCAAGCAGCAGACTGATGGGTTTATCCCCGCTGTCTGCCCTGTGGATGTGCTCACTCACTGCCTGGCTGATTAAGACTTCCTCACAATTGTTCTCCCACTCCCAGAAAAGGATCGATTCATGTTTGGGCTGATTCATGCTTAAAGAAAGTCTAATCATCACCCAGCGTTCCTTGTTAGATCAGCTTGTCATCAGGGGCTGATAATGAATTTTTGCCATGTTGCTCTCCCCCCTCCTTTTTCACAGCTAGCTCTGCACGCACAATACTGTGTGTTTGTGCAAGTATGTGCATGTGAGCTCTCATCCAGGCATCACCATACATATGCATGAGTGTTCACGGCAGTGTGACTTGGGGGAAATTAATGTGCAAAGAGCCGGGCACCTGGGCCCCTCGCTCAAGTGCACTGGCGGGCGCGTAATGGGAACGCAATTTAAGCAGTGGTTAATCAGTGTGTTTTCTCCAGCTTGCCCAGTAATGCATAATAGACAATCAGCCCCCAGTCACACGGGCGTTGCTACGAATGGTCAATTACTCATCATAGTCTTGTTAAACACATAGTTCAGCCAGCCAGGGACAGATTGCTCTGCTGGTGCCATCATTATGGTAAAGAACAAAGCAACGCAATGCTATGTGTCAGGAAAAAAAGAGGGACAGAGCGAGGGAAGAGGAGAAAATGAGGGTTTAGGGAAGAGGCTCATTGAGGTGGCACCAAGCAGGGAGAGAGGAGAGAAGAAAGCACCTTGGTGACAAAGCAGTGGCGGCGAGGAGAGGGAGAAAAACACCAAAATGGAACCAAAGAAGAGGACAGGATTGTCAGAGTCAAGACAAGAATGAAAGAGAAACGGAGAGGAGGTGAAATGGAGCAGCAATGAGAGAGATTGAGGGCATGAAAGTGAGAGATGGAGAGCATAAGATAATGGAGGGAGGGAGAGAAATTGAGAAAGGGACACTGGGGAGCGGGAGCAAAAGTGTGTGAGAGCGAGAGGGAGAGAGCCTGAGAAAGTGTGTACTCAGCTGTGAGATGAGACCTCTGTCTGCCCATGGGGAGAGAAGACGAGGGGAGAGGACTCTGCTGTCAGTGAGGGGGAGGAGAGTCTCACACTCTTTCTCTCTCGCTCTCTCGCTTACACACACACACACACACACTCACACACACTCATTCACCTCCTCTCAACAGCAATCAAATTTGCCTGGTTTAATGATTCCACCTAGAGGGCCAATGGGGCTCCGTCGTTTTACATCTACTTGTAGATCTGCTGTAGTTTCTTTTCTGTTTTTTTTTTTGGTCACACTCATGTTCACAGTGTATATGCTCTCCTCTAATTCTAACCATGTTTTCTCTCCTTACCTCTGTCCCCGTGGGAATGCAGGCAGTGGATTGATGGGCAATTCCTCCGCCTCCTTCATGGGGACCTTTCTGGCCAGTAGTCTGGGTTCCCCCCCTTCCCACCCGTCTCACCCCTCCCGGCCACCCTCCTCGCCCTCCTCACCTTCCTTCCGGGGCGGACCCCACTCCAGCGCCTCGCAAATCTGGTTCCCCCATTCGCATGAAGGTACCTCAAATCACACATGTACACGCCCACAGTTCTCACCGCTCACCTGACCGCACTGCCTGGATGAGGCGATCACGTCATGGCAGTGTTGGCACAGAGCTTTACAGGGAGTATTGTTACTCTGATATTGTGTATGTTTGGGCCGTGTCAGTTTTCCGCCAAAGCACAGCTTGTAATTGTCTCGCAACAGCCAGGCTCCCACCCTTTTATTTGTGAACCGAAATAGGCACAGGCCCAGGCCCAATAAATTTGGGCTGGAGCACAGTGCCATGGTTTCTGGATGGGGACACAGGGTCAAAAGTTCAGCCAAGGAATCTTGCGGTATTCCATTCACGTCAGCAGGAATGCTCTGAGGCAGCATGTGCAAATGCAGGGCAGTAAAAATACGTTTGTAGCATTTCAGCTGGTGTCTCCATCATAGCTTAATAGGGCGGTTCTCACCCAAGTCTTAGCATTACAAAAACCCAGCTTTACACACACACACACACACACACACACACACACACACACANACACACACACACACACACACACACACACACACACACACACACACACACACACACACACACACATATCAGTACAGCACATTTCTGATCAGATACAACCAGGAACATCTCAGGACCCAATTCTCCAGGATTTACTCGCAGATCATTTTTGAAAACAACTCTAGTGAACCACAGTTTTTAACAGATTAGTTCGGGCCAGGGTGGTTGAGGGGGTTGTTTATTTGTGATCACTGATCAGTGGCGTCCTGGTTGCGTGATGTGTTGCTAGGGCCGAGAGCTGTCCGTGTTAAGCCACTGGATACCTCCCAGCCACCCCTACCTCCCTACCACACACCCCCTTTTGCTCCCATGTCCTGGCCACCAGGGGTTGAGTCAGTGTCCCGCGCTGCTACAGCAGTGAGAGGACGAGAAACTCTGCACCTCTTCAAATAAACATGGAGACAGGAAGACTGGGTTTGAATGACATGTCGGCTCGGTCAGACACATTTTCCCTCCAAACTCATTTTGTAATTATCAGTTTCTCTTTTACCTTATAGTTTACAGGGTTTCATTGTCAGACTTTCTTCTTGTGGAAATGTAGAATAATATTAATAAGAGTGATGATGATAATGCCAAGCCTAATAAAAGTAATGGAGGTGATTATGACTGGGATTATTACTCAGTTGGCAACGGAGGCCATTATCTCTATTGCAGTTTAATTGCATATAACGCACTAAGAGCATGATTGAATCCAGACTGTTCATCAACCACATTCAGCTGTTCCCTCCTCAAGATAATTGCATATTGTCTTTTTCCTGTTTTGCATAAAAAGCAAGTCATCAAAATGAGCGGCACAATTACCCAGACTCTCGCCTCCTCTCTCCGGGTGTCAGTAGAACCCCACAAGCAGCAGAGCAGGCACTGGCTTGTGCGTGTGTGTTCGTGTATTAGTGTGTCACTCGTAACCTTAAAGAAATATTCTCTGCGTTTTTTTTCCTTCTTGCAAATGTGGTTTTAAAGCTTGCATGCAAAACTGAGCATGAATTTGTACTTTATATTACTGTGAGATCTTCATGTCTCTGGCTTATACCTGTCATGGTGTAGAATGTCTTGGTCTTTATTCTGACATGTTTTGCACAGATTTCAGAGCTAAAATCTAACATGTATCAAGGAAATATTAACAATGATCTCACTAGTCACTTCCAATAAATACTGTACTCGTGGTCTGTGAGTGCATGGAGCAGGCTAAATCACAATTAGAACATTTTATTTGTTTATTTGAAAACATTTGAATTTTCAAGTTAATTAAGAACAGATAAATCGTATTCTTTATGAAATAACTTTGGAATTAAAAAGAGCCAATTCAGATGTTAATAAGCTCCCAAAGTTTATTATTGCCTAATGGCACCAAATACGTCTCAAAGGGCCGTGCATAAAAATCAAGCAATAATGAACAACAATATCAAAATACAACAATGTAAAAAGTGAGATGATTGGATATCAAATATAATTTTAAAATGTCATTGTAGTTTTTAAGTTTATGTAAAATACAATAATATACATTTGTTTGTATATAAAACCAAGCTGACATGTGCAGGAAGCTAGTGTAATGAAATAAGGACAAGGGTGATATGATCAGGTTGTCCAGTCTTAATATCCCAGCAGCAGTGATTGTACAGATTTTAATTTGCTAATGGTGGATTTAGGTGAGAGAAGGAAAAAAGTTGTCACTACTAAGTCTAAATGTTAATGTAAATGCACACTCTTTGTGATATCATCTGTAAAATAAAAGTCTGGGTCAAATAAGTAGACATTGACTTCTACTAGAGTTTTGTGTAATTGTGGCTTCAGCTTAGTGTAGACTTAGATCACTGAGTTTGTTTCAAATCTGCTTTGGATCAAAAACAAACAATTTCCTCAGCATTTAAGAAGAACTGAGTTACATGTCATTCAGTGTTTGTTTTCCATTAGACATTCTTTCAGCTTCACAGGGTGATGACAGACATCAGGCTAATGGAGACGAAAAGCTGCATATCAACTGCATAGGAATGAAAACAGTTTTAAGTGTACCAAGGGGCAGCATGTAAACAAAATATGACTTAAATAGTAGCCACATATATCCTTCAGGGTGGTCCCCCTTTGGTTGTATACCTCAGCTCATGGTGAACGCAACACACACATAGCCAATCTGTGTCATCACCTTTGAGAAAAAGTAAAGTAGATGTAGAATGTCATGCTTTCCAAGACAAATTTGAGAAATGCTCATTCTTTATGGCAAGCTAGTGACAAGCCAATATGCCTAGTTTGCAGGGACACATGAAACAGACCAGTGTTAAGCATCACTGCAGCTGGAACACTGTAAACTGGGTGAGTTCCAAGGACAAACGAATTGGATAAAGATAACACTCTTTGGAGGAGTTTGGGTTCCCAAGAAGCCTCTTTCACAGCACCACATTCTGTCAGAGGCAATGTGAGGCAGGCAAGTTTTATGGCGAGCTAAGAAGCTGAAACCTCAGTCAGAAGGAGCATTGTGAAGGAGTGCCTTGTTGCCACTGCAGAGCCTCTTGCACTGGACAAAGTAAATTTGTGCATTGTGTGCAAACACTGCATTTTCCTTCTCTGCAAAAACAAAAGCCTGCTATAACATCTGACATCTGAATATGCCGGTGAGTTCACAAAACCCCTTTAGGCTGCGTAAGTGTCATTTAATTGCTCGATGCACTCCAGATTCAATCATTACGATTCACAAATATTGTGAGCCCAAATTGGTAAAACATGTTTGGGACAGAGATCTAAATGGTTTATCATAAAATAAGAGCATAAGACTGGAAAAAACAAACATTTACGACAGCTTCTGACCAGCACAATAGTCAAAATAATTTTTTGAGCTTTTTATTTTGGTCTTAACAATCTTCTCTGAACGTTTGATTTTAATAATAGAAAAGGTTAAGAAACCCTCATCTGAATCTAGATTTACAAAAACACTGTGATAGACATCAAGAGATACATGTTGTGGGTATATTTTTGTGATTCCGCAATGTTCAGGAGACAATGGCAAACCTTTTTTTGCCCTAAAATTTCTACCAAATAGTTTTTTGATGTTCCTCTCACAACAGGAACACAACTGGTCCAAAATCAAAACCTCCTTGGCGGAAAGAATAATACTAAAATGTATTTTATTTAAAATAAATAGATCTCACAAACGGCTACTGTACTTATGTATATTCTATTGATCAGATTACTATTTTATGCTCTTGTAGCTGTTTTTTCAAACAGAATGTGGAAAATAAATGCATAAGGCAGCACATGTTTTATCTGATTCGCTACTGAAATACAAACGATGTCATCAGAGTCAGTTGGTGAAGCAGAAGAACTTTTACCATGTTTTTGAAAAACAAGCTGTCAGTCATATATGTATTGTTCCTTGTATTTATTCAAATCAAACCATAAGTTCCCAATATTTCCAAGTAAAAAGCTTTATGGGAGGCCAAAGGGAAGCAGGCGTGTTGTTAACTCTGTATCCACATGTGCACGGACATGTCTGGGTATGTATACAGAGAGGGCCAGTTATGCATACATACTACAGCTCTACTGGGAGCATTAGTGACAAACCATTAGCTGAGTGACACATTAAGCACAGCTATAAATAACATCTCCACGCAACAGAGGTCCTTTTGGTTCCGAATAACTTTGGCAGAGAGAGTCGACAGATTTGGTTTTGTGGTAACTTTTGCTTAAAGATTGATTGTGTTGAAAGTGTACAGTGTACAAGGTGAAAGTGCCAAGAAGTGGCTTTCACAATGTCCGAGGGGAGAGTGGAATGAAAGAGGTCGTCTGATTGATTGAAGAACTGTAACAGCCATTGTGTGCACAACACATGGGATTGTCTGTTCATTTGCCGAGGGGAGATGTGGACTCACTGACACTAGAGAGAGGAGCGGCAGTATGATAATGGCTGCAAGAAGAGCGGGATAAAAAAAATTTAAACAGGGGGAAAAACAGACAGATGTCGTGTAGCGACTGCTTTAATAAATGTAATGCAAAATGTTTTTTAATAACACCTGGTAAAAAGGATTAGGCCCACGAAGCTTTCGAAAGATTGATGTTTTTTTCATGCATGGAACAGTTTGAATAAACCTCACTGAATCAACTGAGTGCAAAAAATGAAATAAAAAGAGGAGAAAATGGACGACAAAAAATCCCATGCAGTCACCTCACAGGCCTGAGGCCAGCTGGCTGCAGCCCAAATGACTTCTTACGCTTTGCCAGAAACAATCGCAGTCTCATATCTCTGTCCACACGTTCCACACAAACAGACACACATGCATGCACACACCTGTCTAATCCACTTCTGTTTGATACGCCTTTCCAAGCCTATCTTCAGTTGTCCATCTTTCCTTCTGTGAGCAGTTGCTAGCTTTTCCTTTTGTGGGATTTAAGCTGCACCCCCCACCTCTCCTCCCTTACATACTGCTGCCTCTTTCATTCTCTCTCTCTCTCTCTCTCTCTCTTGTGCCAGCCTGCATCCCTTCCTTTCAATTAGTCAAACCTGAGGAGATCCACTACAGCACTGCCCCTCCTCCACCAAACAGCTCCAGTCTTCTCTCTGCTTCTCCTCCCTCTCTGTCTTGATGGTTCTGTCACTTTTTCTCAATTAGCAGACTTGACAGGCAGCTCAGCCTGCTCCTCTCCTCCTGGTCCTCCTCTGCCATTCTGTCTCTCTGCCCTTCTATCTCTCTATCTCTGAAATGGCACAGCCATTTTGCCACAGATAATATACAATTTGGCCTTTGTGTTATTTTGCCTTTTAACAAAAATAAAGAAACCCTCATCAGTAATTGTATGTGGTGGTGTCTTAAGAGTGATGGGAGTGGAGAGAGGATGCTATCGAAAAATTCTGTCGCCTGCCTCCAATTCAGCAGGCTTAATTCTCCTTTTCCTCTCGGTGCTGTTCTTTATCAGACCTCTTCTTTGTCCTCCTTGTTGGCCTGCTTCTCTCATCCCACTGTGCTGTGAGAAATACCTTCAGAACTTCTACAAATCCCTCTATGGGACGCACCACTGTTCTTTCTGCCTCATGCCCATGGAAAGGATGGCATGTCCTGTGAACTCCTCTCTGTCATTCACTTCCGGATGCTGACTTGTTTATGTGTGAATGTGTGGAGGGAGCAAAAGAGAGCAGGCTGCTGTGCAGTCAGCAGACTGCACTAAGACCCTGCTCATGCCGCCTGCAGCAGAAGCAGCAGCTTCCCTTGTCCAGGCCAGATTAATGGCTGAATGGGCTCTGCCGTGCCCAGCAGTCCCCCTCTTGCTGCCCCAGTGGACGGCATGCTGAAACTGAGCGGGCTGGCATTATCGGGCACAGCCAGACAACGCTGTGAAAAGGGATTACGCCGTCGATCGTCACGCTCACAAACAACATGCTGCCGTAGAAAAAAAAGCCCCTCTCTCAGCTTGGATAAAGACTGCCAAACAGCTCTCTGCTCTTCTCCCTCCCCAAATCAGAGAAAAATGTCTTGAACAAAGGATTCCTCTCCCTCCTCTATCTGTAGATGAATTGGCAGAAATGTGTGCGATTATTAATCATGACAGAAAATAAAGAAACAGAGACAAAATGGGAGAGAGGGAAGAGAGGTAGAAAAATAGGTGAAAGAAAGAAACAGAGAGAAAAAGTGAGGGTATGTAATTATTGCCCCGTTGCCCTCCTCGGAAAGCAGCACCTCCTGTGTTATTGCAGGGCTGTTGGCCCGCTCTATGCATTTCATTAATTAAAATTGGAGGATGCGGAGGCTGCTCTGAGACGAGGTCATTAAGCCCACCATAACACTCCTCCCTCCCCAGAGCTGGTCCCACAGCATCGGCTCCATTGTTCCACTGGCAGAAAGTGAGACGTTCAACACGCGGAGCTGACGTAAAAAAAAAAAAAACTAAAAAAAACACTGCGCCGCTTACACAGTGCATCTGCGCTTTACGGGATCAGGTCACAGGCTTGCCAACACAAATACGTCTGTCTTTCATTTAGCTCCCAGAGCCATGTATTCCTCTCTTTCTCCCCCTCCCCCTTCCTTCATTCCATCTGTGAGTTGTGTTTAAAAGTAAAGCTGAGGGGGAAACAGGTGCAGAAGCGGGGAGAAGGAGACATGAAGCACCTGGACATAAAGGTCACTGAGATGCTTATGTGCTGGTGGACAGTAGTCAACCGGTTTGTCCCACACAGAAACAACACATATGCAGAAAAACACCCATAGTGATTGTTTTCTTTTTCTTATTTGTGTATCACATTATAGCCATAATACCCTGTTTATGATTTACTCTACTTCTCCTCTTTGCAGTAGTACAAAAATATTTAAACATAAGATGTTTTATTTACCCAACTACAGTGGAAGTGGAATGTGATAGTGATTCTGTTTCTCTAAAATCATAATGCGCTTTCATCTTCAGCCATGTTTTCTTTCTCCTTTCGCCTCTACTCAACATTTCCTTTGTGATTTTGAATGTCCCATGGCAAAATGAGTCTTGTGTTTGGTTGTGGAGTAAACGTCCTCCAGATGGGCTTGATGTAATAAGCCCAGGTTTACTGGCCTCCAGGCCCAACATCTGAATGACCTTTACCCATGATGTGGGTTAGTAAAGGTCACCCGCCCACCTCTCATTTCACTACAAACACAACCTTCAAATCTGTCTTTATCACTTTGTTCAGATGGATAGAGGTGCTTTTGAGAGAGAGATAAAGAAACAGCCGTATCTGTCAAAGACAAATTTCATACACCACAGCAATCTCCAAGCTTGTCTTGTATTGTTTACATTGTAAACTCAGGCAGGAAAGGCAAACATTACAGGCAGAGCCGGTACTTATTTGCGTATGAACACCACCAGCTGCATTGGACCTGAAGGATTATACTGGGTTAGTCTGGATAACTGCATCGCGGTGGTTATTGTCCTGTCTTATCAATTCTGTTTTCCCTCTCTCCACTATCCTTTTCAGCAGCTCCAGGGTATCCTCGATTCTCAGGGAGTCTGGCCCACACTTTCCTTCCCATGAGCCACCTGGATCACCATGCCAACAGTGGAGTTCTCTATGGGCAGCACCGTTTCTATGACACCCAAAAAGGTGAGACATGAGATGATTAAAATTCAATCAGACAAATAACATAGTTAAATCCAATTTATTCAACATGGTATGGTATAATTTGATGTGGGATACTGATATAAGAATGCCTAGGGACACTATCATGCTGAATAATCAAATTCTGTCATTGCCTTTTCCTTTCTTCACTAATGCATTTGTCTTTGCTGCCCTGCCTTCCCTCTACTCTCAGAGAACTTCTACCTTCGAGGTCTCCCGTCCCAGCCTCCTCTCATCTCAGCCAATCACAGTCTGCCACCAATGTCCAGGGCAGGTTCAGGCCACTCTCAGGGGTCCTGCAGCAGAGACAGAGATGCAGGGGTGGGGACGGGGCTACATAAGGGTCTTAAAGAGGGGTCTGTCGAGAGAGGAGTGGTACCCGTGAAGGACAAGGAGAGGTCCAGTAGCAAACAGGAGGCAAAGGAGAGACATCAGCAGCAACAGCACCACAGCCACCAGCCACCCCAGCCCACACACCACCACCATTCCCACTCCCATCAGCAGCACCCACACTACCCACAGCACCCACTGCCCCTGGAGGAGGTCAACAGTCGGGCCCTGGAGAGGCACAAAGCATCACTAGCAATGGAGTACAGCAAGGAACATCCACAGAGTATGGGCAAACCCCTCAGTGCCTGCTTGCACAATGGCAAGATACAAAATGGAGATACTGGAACTGGGGCTGGGGCTAAGGCCTCCATGACCAGCTGTGGGGGAGAGGGCACAGCCCTAGGGTCAATGGGAGGTGGTGGTAGCGGCCAGGGCAGACATATGGGGTCCAGTGGCATTAGCCGCTGCACCAAAGAGGGGGTAAGTGGGGAGATGAGAATTAGTGAACAATCTTCGGACTGTCTGGAAAGGGGTCAGGCACAACTCCACCACTCTCTGTCCTACTCTGTACCCCCACCCTTACACATGGGTTCTGCTGCAGGTGGGGCACACCCCCATCCGCATCCTCACGCTCACCCCCATACACATCCTCACCCAGGGGGCTTCCACTGCCTTCAGCTTCACCCCAGCCACCCACACCACCCACATCATTCCCACCATACACACCACCATCCAGACTTCTTCTGTCCGCCCCCTTCTGCTCCTCTAGCCAACCCTGCTTCACATGAGAGGGGGGCAGCCAATGTGGGGCGAGAGCCTAAAATCACAGGACCTACATTTGTGCCATCTGTGGCAGATCTGGGGGACAAAACTAGTGGGCCATTCCAGCTTGGTAACCCTGACTGCCATGGTGTGGGCAATGGAGGGGGAGGTGGTAATGCCAAGGAGAAGGTAATAGAAAAGAATGGAGGCAGTGGGCATCATAATAGTTGGCATAGAAAACAGCAACAACAGCACCAACAACAACAACAACAACAGCAACAGCAACAGCAACAGCAGCAGCAGCAGCAGCAGCAGCAGCAGCAGCACGCTTACAGAAAAGCAGAGAAGGCTCCAGACTGGATGCAGTCCCATCACCAACATCTTCAGCCCTCACAGCTTCCTCCACCTCCCCAACAGCAACAGCCCCCACATCCCCAACAGCACCAGGTGGTACGATCACGCAGTGCTGAGTGTATCAACAATGGTGTGGACATGGATGTTTTCAGATCCTCGCTGCCCCAGGGGCCCAAGGCTGGACACTCTGTCTCTCATTCTGTAAACACTTCCCCTTACAGAGACTGTTCCCATTCAGGACCCCCACCTAATGCCTCACCACTTGGAAGTAAAAGCATGGGTCAGCATAGTGGGGCTGGAGCAGCCCATGGCCCTAGTCCAGGAGGTAGCTGCTCCTTACAGAGAGATGGTCAAAAGGTAGCCAGGATACGCCACCAGCAACATGGCCGGCCTGGCCCTGAAGCTTCTTCTCCTGCAGACTTGAACCAGGGGACAAGTCAGGAGATGAAAAGAAAGATGGACATGTCTCCGTATGGTTACAGCAACAGCAGTGGGCAGCACCACCACCAACAGCCCCAAGTGCCACCCTGGACTATGAGGCCCCCCCACCATATGTCACAACCTGAGGAGGAGCAGAGGAAGTCCTACATGGAGTTAGGAAGCACTGGTGTGCAACACTCGCAGCAGCAGCAGCAGCAGCAGCAGCAGCAGCAGCAGCAGCCGGGTATGAGCTTGCCTCCTCCCCAGCCTCTCCCTGCACCTCCCCTCAGTCAGCAACAGCAGCAGCCTGAGCCCCAGGGTCAGACCCAGGGGGAGAGCAGTGCCATGAAAAGCTTACTAAAGTACAGCAACCAGCAACAGCCACTGCTCCTTTCCCAGAAAAGCCCATTTGGGGGTCTGGGAAACCTCAAGTCAGGTCCTGCTGGTGGGAGTTGTGCACTGCAGGGCAACAAACAGACTCTACCTTCCAGGAAGGGCCCGGCCAATGACAACGAGCGCCCTGATTACAGTGGACGGAGCCGAGATATTGGGGAAGCAGGTCATGGAGAAAGTGAGGTGCGACAGCCACCGGTGGGAATTGCAGTGGCGGTGGCCAGACAAAGGGAGCCAACTTGTCGCTCAACAGACGGTCATCCCAACAGCCGGCAGGGCAGGGTACATCCTTCTGTGAAAGGTAAGCAGTCAGGGTCACTGCCTCATAAACAAGATTGTGTTTGTGTGACCTAATCAGGACCTACCTGTTGAAGAATATGACTATAAAACAAGATTTAAAAAAAAAAAACATAAAAAATTCTGTTTAGTTATTCTCAGCTTTTATTTTGTTTGCCCTTCAACAAAATAACACTTTT